CACAGACAACCCCGTAACAATATGCGTTTTGTACTGCTGTTACACAGCACAAAACGCATAATAACTCAGAGGGTAGAGAAGGTAACGAACTGTAATTTTAAGGTAATGTTCCATGCTAGCCTACAAATTCAGCACTACCCGCCCTTGCCTAAATCTCAGCACGGGCACATCAAAGTTCTGGCTCTAAAATTAATAAATTGGAACCACAAGAGCCGGGGGACTAGGATTTTTGGAGAGTCTTCCCTGCCTGCGTGTGGCTCAGAAAAGTTAAATCCGGCCTTAAAGTGCGCCTAGGTCTCACACATATAGATGTGTGGAAGTTTTGGCGCCGAAATTAATAACTCGGGAACTAGAAAAGCTGGGGAGCTAAAACACTAAGAGAATGTCCCCTGCCCACGTATGATCTCCCCATACTTAAATTCAGCCCCTTCCCCGCGCATTCCTGGGTGGAATTTTTGGCTCCAAGATTGTTAACTCGGAAATCACAGACAGTAAAGCTTTGGCGCTATAATTAACGTGTAAATGATCAAACAGTAATGCAGTGGTTCCCCCAGACAGAGTTGCTCAAGCGTCAATTAAACAAGGTTGCAAAAAAATCCATCGGCCAGAATTGCACAGAATTTGCTAAGCAGGATTACGCGCAAAGCGCATGATCGTAGCAGCTACCCTTATCTGCTCCGCTACTTTGATTTGTGCTGTATGAGATTTCATACCCTATTCCTACCCTATTCAGGAAAAAATCAAAGCCAACCACAAGACCGTGAATTAGAGACGATGGGCGAGGAGAAAGTAAAAGCTGTTAAATGTGTACCATCTCAGAAAAGCTGCGATGTTGCATCGTCCGAAGTGGCCAAACCAAATTTTGATAACTACTCTGACATGCTGTTTCATCGCACTTAAATATCGTTTGAATCCTCAGCTCAGTGGTCTTTGAAGCACACCGATGGGGAAATTTGCATTGCGCTGGGGTTAAATTTGGAGCGTTTGCGTACTCTCTCTGAATTTTTTTCATCAAATTTCTGTCGCGCAGCCGTACTAACGCACTTCGGAGACATAAGCCGGATGATGCTTTCCAGCGACAGCCTCTTCTGTCCCGCTCTAACCGTTCCAGCATACTGTTAATACGACTGCATACTTTCCAGATTACTGTGTGCAGTAATTTATGAAGTATTCTAAAGTTGGCCTGCCGTAAATCTCGACCTGTTCCATCGCTGCCACGGAAACCAAACATCTTTGACTATTCGTTTCCATGCCAAAAACTCCGAACTTTTCCAGTCGTTGATTAGAAAACCGTCACCAGCTTGCTTGTAAGAAACTTTCAGAAGAGGGAGCCATCGGCAGCCTTACCAGCAAGCGGTTGCTGTTGGCATTTGCTACCACTCGGGCTACTTCACAAGTGCCTCCACCTCGCACTTATAGCGAAATACGGAGAGTGGAAGGAGGGGAGAGGTTGACTTTTAACTCTGATTAGAAAAATGGCACATTCATAAATGGCTTTTTCGCATTTTCGATTCACCCGTGTCAGGGGCGCGAACTTCCTGTCCCGTCTTTCGCTTCGCTTTGCGAGGGGCGATGGTCTTTGAAACAGCATTGAGAAGTGAAAAATAAACAGTGTACAATGCATAAACCAGAAGTTTGGCTAGCAGCACTTCGAACAAAAGCTTGGTCCTTTTTTTTACTTCAGAAACGCAAAGGACGCATCGTCCTTATGAACATATTTTCTTGTTTTTCATTCCTTTGTCTTTCAGTCTTGCCCGTTTTTGATCAAAAATTGAAAAAAGTAGGAGAAGTATAAGAAACGAAAAAGGGACTAAAGGAAACGTATTTTGTGCGGGATCGGGAGGTTACTTTCGTACGCTCTGAACCACTCCACTAGCTGGTCTTTTGCAGCAGGCATGAAAATTTGCGTATAGCAGAGTTAGAGTTCTGGTTTGAAGATATCATTCCCATAACTTGCTCAGTTAGAAGTAAATTAATAAGTAGTTGTAAATCTGAAAAATGCACTCCCCCGGTCCCTCTCTCCACTTCGTTGCCTCATTCCGTACTCCAATTCTACCCATTTTTTGCTTATAATTAGAGGAATATTATTCTAGACAGTTTCCTTTACGAAGCTTTCAAAATGTTTTGTAGCCCCTAACAATGATACAAAGGTTTCCCAGATACAACAAACGCTACAAAATCAACAAACATTGACGCAAAATCAACATCTTTTTGTCACTGCCCCGACAGTTTCATTGAATACCATATTTGCTTCGTCTAATGAATGTATCCGTGAAACGAGAGCAAAATCATTCTGCTTAGCAGATATCCTTACTGCTGTGTACCTAAAAAGACGCCGTGAGCTATAAAATGATATTGAAATTTCTAAACTTATAATCTCTCTCGAGTGCTATTTTTTGGAAAAACCCTTCGAATAGCAGCTTTTTCATTAATTCACAAAAACGTCTCTGATGGTTTGCTGAAAATTTTCATTGGTGGGTGGTCGAAGTTCGTGGTGTACCAAATATGCAAGCCATTGAGGTTGGTTTAGACCCCCAGTGCTTGTTGCAAAAGATGTCATTCTTGGCATCACATCACTGGAGCTACACTGATGCTTGTAGTAGTAAAACAATCAGGAACACGCCAAAAGTGGAGCGGGAGATGTGGCGGAACATTCGAATTTTCAGCTGAGAAAAAATTATTTGGTAGTAAACTGCAGCGCTGCAACGTCAGC